CTTTGTCCCGCGTCCCGACAGATGTTTGGTCGGGACGCGGGACAAAGAAGCAAATATCGGGACAGTCCCGATAAAATCGGGACGTCTGGTCACCCTACTACTAAATAGCCAGCCAGATATGGCAAACCCAGTGTTGACAGGCTGCATTATCATGGATACATTGTAACACTATTACATATAATGCATAATCTTAGTTAATCTGTTAATTAGGCAACACACCTTTCCTACCTGAGTATTCTTGCCATCTCTTTCTGACAAATATACACTTAAGCTTATTACCTGTCTATATATTGTTCAATATTGATATGTTTGCAGACAACACAACTGCACTGTATTAGTACTTAAATACTAGTGTCATGTTTAAAAGAATTTTGAAATGTTTAAATTCAGAATTAAGTTTGAATCTTTGTCCTCTAGCCTACTGTTTTGGCAGAGGGTGGTAGTTGCCTACAATAATGACCTGTTTTATTAGTGAGAAACTTAATGGAAACTCTACTAATTTGACAGCTTACAGCAAATGACAGAAAACATGTTATCCAAAAGACCTCCAGCAGCACAGAGTAGCCTTTTTATAATTAGGAAACGAGTTAGCAGTAGAGAAAATTGACAAAACTTCTTGTGTTGTGAAAGTTGCTGTAAAATGGAAGTAAAACCTCTCAGTGGACTTACAAATGACTTGACTAGCTATCTTGACTTCAAATATAGGGCTGATCAACACTGGAACCTTACGCTGGCATAGCTATGTCTCTCGGATAAAAATCCACATCCTGAGAGATGTAGCTCTGCCAGTGTAACACCTGTGTAGAAAGTGTTGGATTGACAGAAGAATTCTTCCCTCAACCTACTTACTACCTCTCAGAGATCAACTGCAGCACTTTCATGCCAGCTGAAAACTGAGAGCCAGCATGGAGAATTGTGTATTGAACTCTCATGTTCTTGTTTTTAAATAAAAAAAAGTTTATGTACACATGTGAGAACTGTACCCATTTGAATTATGGATGTTTGTCTGACACAGATAGCTTTGTCTGACCATTTAAAAACTGCTCCAGAAGCTTCACTCAATACAGTATCTGTGTAATTTGTTTGGAGACTGAGGTGGCAGCACTTTCCTTTTCCTCTTGGCCTTGGTAGGAAATTATCTTCCACGGTGGTGTTTGTTCAAGTCATGTATAGATGGGTGAGAAATACTATCACATGCCTTTATCTTTTGAAGCAGTGGGGGATGGAAGGAAATTGTTGCGAAATGCTCCGTTAAACCATGCTCGTTAGAAGGAAATTGCAGAATTGAATATCAAGCCATACTGACTTTAAATGTGCAGACTGGACAAAACAATGGTAATTTGCCTTCAAGATTTAAGAAATACCCAGTACGATAGTGTCCATTCCCAGCTCTTGCTGAAGGGAACAAAAACACCTGTCATCTCATTGGAGAAAGTTTGGCATGGAGGAGCACGAGTGCTTGTTTCAGTAGTGCATGGTGCCTGCCATATGTCTGATTGTGGTCTTGTAGCTGCTCTGTACAAGCCAGAAGATGGGTGGAGACAGCTGGAGGGGTGGGGGAGATGGGCAGCTTCAGTGGAAGCTTCCTGCAAGCTTCCACTAGCAGAATTGATGCATCCTAAGCTACAAATACAGCTACCCTCCTGTGATGGAGCTGCTGGGAGGCAGCTGTGGAAATTCCCCAGGATGCAGTGGTGATGTGGGTGTCATTCAAAAGCCCTGAACACAAATAAGGGTGGACTAATCTCTAATGCATAAGCTTTCTAATGAGGTCACAAGAGACAAACCTCATGAAGGAGGCTGGCTGAAGCTAAGAGCAAGGATTTTTAGAGATGCTAGAGAAGGAAAGAACAAGCGGTCACAGATAATCTCAAGTCATAGCTATTATCTTGAAGAACCTGGATTCATTGCTACCAATTTTTAGTCCTTTTAATTAAGCCTTAACCTATTCCAGCAGAGCTTGTCTAATTATAGATAATGTTTAAATGCTTTTTGTATTTTTCTTAAATAGTGAATATCTTGTAGACTTGAGACAATAGACTCGAGACAATAGTGGCTGTATGGAAATCTCAGAGTGAAAGATCCTCTATTTTCAGGATAGGGGGAGGAAGAGGAATCAGGCAGTTAACTGGCCACTAGATCAAAACAATTGAATGGAATTGTAGTCTCATCCAAAAAAGTTATAATAGAAGATGGAGGTCTATGATGGCATAAAGTAAACTCTCCAATGTTGGAAGGGCCAGGAACAGTGCTCCTAATCTTACAAAATGCCATACAATAGAACCACAGATTTACAAACACCAGAGTTACAAACTGACCAGTCAACCAAACACCTCATTTGGATTGAAAGTACACAATCAGACAAAAAAAGCAATTATAGTACAGTGTTAAACATAAACTGCTAAAAAATAGAGAGAGCAGCATTTTATTTCTGCATAGTAAAGTTTCAAAGCTGTATTAAGTCAATGTTCAGTTGTAAACTTGTGAAAGAACCATAACGTTTTGTTCAGAATTATGAACAACCTCCATTCTCAGGGTGTTCGTAACTGAGGTTCTACTGTATTTTTGTTCCTCATGAGAATCTCTTTCCATTGCTTTAGCTATGGAATAGCTGGTTCCACCAATGTGACAGGAGACCAAGTAAAGAAGTTGGATGTCCTTTCCAATGACCTGGTGATTAACATGCTCAAGTCATCCTTCACTACGTGTGTTATTGTGTCAGAAGAAAACAAAAATGCTATAATAGTAGATGCTGAAAAAAGGGTTAGTAACTTACAAAACTTGTCAATACTTGGATTCAAGTTAACTTTTACAAATACTTTTCTTCAAATATGTAAAAATTGAACTGGAGTTAAAGATTTCAAAGACACTTAGCCAAAGATGTGTGTGTTTGTTTTCTGGATACAGGAAAATATTGACAGCTACGTTTTCCATTTACTCCCACCTGGTTTCTTTCCTCCAGTTCTGCTCCCCCATCTTTTGAGCTTTTCTTCCCCCTTTAGTCCTAAATTCGGTATTGTTTGTACTTCCTAACCTCTGGAGCAATTTGTATGTGTGGGTTGTGGGGTTTTTTTTTTTTTCCCTCCCCCAGCTGGTTCTCAGGCAGGCTCTTCCTATAACATTTGTCTGACTATTGGACTATTTTTATGGATCAATCCATAAAGGTCCTTCCTCAGGCAAACTTTTCACTGAAGTTAGTAGGAGTGAGGACTTCAGGTCTGACTTAAAGAATTGACAGTGTCATTGAATTGTAGTAGAAGTGTAGGTTTTGTGAGTTTATTTTAACTGCTTTGTAGTCTTTCCTAGAAATATTAAATTTCTTCCACTGTTCTCCTGCCTCTTCAAAAATAAAAACAAGTTTTTGAATTTACTATGTGGCCTATGCAGCTGCATCATTTATATGTATTTGCAGGAATGTATACACTTGTGAGAGCAGTATTCGTGAATTGCTCCTGACTCA